AATTGGAGATTATGCATGCATATCAACTCTCCTTTCAAAACATTACATTTTGCATTATTTATCCAGGGAAGCAAAATCTTCCCTGCTTCTCCCTTCTTGCCTATAGCTGGTTTTGAAAGTCTGATACTAAAATCCGTGTTATAGCTTGATTTTTAAAAGAGGAGAAATAGCAAATTGGCCTTACTGGTATCAGCGCCTTTTGGCAAATGTGCCTAGCAACTTGCTTAGTAGAAAAAGACATTCATTGTTTTGGGATATTTCAATGAAAATGATAGTTTAACTGTAGATAGAGTCATATCTGTTATATAATCTTATTTGGCTACAAAGATCAAAGAAGATGATCCCGAATGAGAAGTTGTGGAGGAAAATCAACTGAGGTTAAGAAATACAGGGTTTAGATCATCTTGAAAAAATCTATTTGCAATCCAAGGACATAGATGAGCACAACAGATTTTAACTAAAGATTGGTTTTAAACATGTGGCACATGCACTCACATTTCTTCACTTATATTTCCAGCAACACCACACAATCACATTATCTCAGACCTCTTCATTTTTCAACAGATGTCTCTGCACAAAATATTGACTCTAGCATATTCAAGCATCAACTGATTTCAGACATAACCAACGCAGTCTATAAATTAGATGCTAGGCAGAAGTCAGCAGAAAGGTTTCTTAGATTCCTCTGGCTTATCACCATATACAAGACTTCTATTTGTGCTGGTTCTTGGTGAAGGTGGACAAAAAGCTTGATCAGTAGCTACTGTTTGTTTTTGCTTATATTAATGCTAGGCTTTAACTCTGATGAGAGCAGCTGAATGGAAAGGAGGAAGAGGTAAGGCAATGCATTTGAATGTCTGTGGAGATTCTCAGTCATCCAGGTCATGGTTATCCCAGCTGCTTTTTCAAGAGGCAGCTGGACTTTCTTGAAGAAGCTGAAGTTTCTTGGATGAGAAGCGAAACATCTTCAAAGAAAAACAAGAAAGTCCAGCTGCCTCTTGAAAAAGCAACTTGGGACAATGCATTTGAAAAGAAATAGCATAGGTAGTAGTAACTTTGAAGGCCACATTCTGTAATGTTAACACTGAAGGTGGTTGAGAATGCAACTCCCAGCATTACTGTTTTGTGCAGCATATATTAACATTGCTACAAAAGCTCCCCGTCTCTCTAAACTCCCCAATTTAAAAAGGGCCCAATGAGAGGCTTCCCTCATAAGATATGCACTTGAGAGTTTATTTACAAAGAGAGGAAATTCACACAGACACTTTAGTCATCTTCTTGTTGTTGTTATTGTTCAGTCTCTAAGTCGTGTCCGACACTTCGTGATCCCATAGACCAATTAGTCATTTTGCTGCTAAGTATAGGAACAACATGCTCCACCCAGGAGTATTTCTCAGCAATTCTCTCTTCCTTTGAAATAAATTTCTGAAGCAAATTCTTGTTCAACAGTCGGGAAGAGAACCTGAAAGAAACAAATGGCAAAGAGATTATCTGCTAGCATTCGCAAACGTATTTTCACATTTGTGTAAATCTTGAGTACCTCTCAGTATTATACTAAAGTACCGTCAGATAACACGTTGATGGCAGAAAATGGCTTGCTACAGGACTCTACAATGAAGAGAATGAAGTCAAGGCCTTTTCCTCCACACTTAATTACCCATGACTGAGCAGTTCTCCAAGAACTCACAGCTGATAGGTAGAAAAAAATGTACAAACTTTTGAATATAGTGATGTCCAATACTGATATTTAATCATTGGTGACATCCAGTGAACTTGCCTTGGTGACCATAGCAACTGCATGCCAACTAGCTTTCACAATGGGTCAACTTTGGGGGTGGGGGAGGGAACAGAAGCATTTGTCAGCCACAACATCTTATGACCAGCACACCAGACAAATAATATACTTTGTAACAACAGAATATCTTGCCATGACAGCTTTTCTCTTATTATTATCTATGCATTATCTGGTCAGGAAGCTTCGGAGATATGATATTTGCATGATTAGTTAAGCCTGAATAATTATTTCTCCTATTTGGAAAACTTTGGTTCTATGTTGGTTTCTTAACTATGATATAAACACGGTCTTTCTGAAGCAGAAAAATGATAATAATGATGATGATGATGATGATGATGATGATGATGATGATGATGATATTGTTCAACTATGTGAATTTTGAAATGATGTTCTGATTCACAAGTATAAATTAGCATATATCTTTCCTGGAAAAAAATTACATAGTTCTCTCATATCCCTTTAGCTTAGTTCTATTCTATTCTACTCAGAAATGTCATTGCTATAGGAGTTAAATCTATCACACAGCTATGCTTTTTAATCTTTCCACAAATGCCGTAGTGGCCTTCTTCTGTTTTATTACATTGCTTCCTGACTAGCTTTCCAATTAATTTTTACAAGTTTTACTTGATGTACATTTCTAAGGCACTCAGTTTATCCCATTTTCATGTAAAAAAAGCAACTCTATGCTATCTATATAAGGTGGAATTGTGATGTACTCCAGTGGTATCTGATAGTGCTGCTGAACTCAGAGGGAAAAAAAGGTGCTTTGGAGTGCCTGGATGTAACTGCCCAACTCTAGGATAAGCTGCTTTTTAAGTAGTTACAGACAGATGTTTTGGGTGCACTCCTGTATGCTCTAAACTAAAGCATCTTCTTACTTTCATATCTGAAGCACTGTGAGGCACTATGGTCTAGCAAGTGTCAATGATGTCACAATAAATAAAAGTGCCCAGTGTCAACTGCTTGATTGCTCCCATTTGGGTCCTCCGGTTCATTTCATTTTAATTGGGAACTAGAATGGCTCATTAAGTCATAAGCTGTATCTTATTTCCTGGTTTGTGGTCCTGCTATGTTACAAAACAAGCAATCCAAAGTTACGGGTTCACACACTAAACAAATCATAGATAGAAACAACCTGAGTCTAGTTTAAGCATATGGTAGTTTCATTCATCATAAGCCCATGATGTTCTAGTACAATCTCTGACTTTTTGTTTCTTGTTTTTGGATTGATATTTAGCTGCACTGACAATTAATCTTTAACTCAGAATATTTGTGTTTTACATTTTAAGGTATCTATCTCTGGATCATTAATTCTCATTTCAGAGACTACAACTTGGTAGGCATGCCTAAGGCATTCTTGTAATGCATATGAATAAACCTATGTTCCCATTTTTACATTAATATGGAATTCTGACACAAAGGGTAGCAGCACTGGAGTGAAACAGAAGCAATACATTTCTTGTAACTAATGGTTACATTGAAACTGACAGACGTAAAACAATCAATATTTCTTTGAAATTTGGGTGTCCTTGACAGAACGTTATCACCTTCAGGATGAACTGTGTAATAACCTGAATAGATCATCAAGTGATTTCTGAATACACTCATGATAGTAGACTATAGTAGTTGGGTCAGGAACTACCTAAAAGCATGGTGCTCTGATCCCAAAGCATTTAAGTTTTTTTCCAGTTTCTGAGATCAGAAAAATAGGAACAATGAAAACAATGAGCATATAATTGGAGAGATTCTTAATAAATATCTATTATTGAACTTTAAATAGTTATTTAAATATCCACCTGGCATTAGTAAGTCTCAAGTATTGTGTACAGTAATAAATTATGCATTCCTGATTTTCTGCTTATGAAATACTTTGGTTGGAGGTTTTAGTTGTTTCCTGGAACAAGGGCTTTACTGTATCATGGCTTCATGTCAGCACTTAGGTCATGTGTATGAAACAGCGTAAGTGGGGGAGAAAATGGACTGAACAACTGGGATTTTAAGCATGTGAAGTACTACTTTCCTGATGTTACTTACAACATTAAACAATACAATATTTAATCTAAAGTATACTAGCAGCTCTGTTCAAAAAAAGGAAAGGAAAGAGAGAGACACACACAGAGATATAGCAATATAGATACATACACACACACACACACATATACAAAGTTTTCATAAAGCATTCAGCACCCTGTTCCAAACAAGTCTTGCTAGAGTACAGATCCTCCCTCTAGCCTGAAAACTTTGATCATGATATCTGATATCATTCTTCACTTGTTTTTCATACCTATATTACCAACATCATGCCTACCATATATACATATGAATTATAGCATGATTGTGCTGGAATGGAATTCTGGGAGCTGAAATTCAAATATATCTGAATACATATACAATCTGAAGAGCATCCGATTAATAAAAGATCTGGTGACATATTTAATTATCTGACTTTTCTTCTTGTTATACCTATGATTATCACCTCCCCTTTTTAAAAAAAATCTTCCCTACCTTCTTATTCATTGCTGCATTTCTTTTATTTGAATTTATGACCTGTTTTGCTTTTAATGCAGATATTCAAGGAGGCTTGCAATAAATAAAATGCTCTGATCCCCAAACTAAAACAAGGCTATGACTTAAAATAATACAACTTTTATTTTTTTCCCCCTCATTGCTAAAACTTACTAACTTTAGTAGCATCAGCTGTCATGGGATACAATGACAAACATTGGGAATTTTCTACTATACCAAATGAACAATTGGCCTGGCTCTTTTCTAAAGGAATCATGCTATACCATATATTTTGGCAAAACACTTTCCTCCATTTAATGTAACGCCTCTTTTTTATGATTCCAGAATGTTGAGTGGCCAAAACAACATCCACTTTCCTCTTTGAAGCAAAATGTAAACATGTTATTTTTTTATTTTTTTTTTAAAAAGAGAAACTGCAAAACAAATTCCACGCAAGAGAATGACAAGATGGTTCCCGAATTGTATGTGAGCCTTCTCTTTGCTCATAAATTAACTAGGCCAGGACCTGATTACTTTACTGAATGAGTGCCAGGAATCTGCATTTAGGTATTTGTGCCAACCTTATTTTCTTTAATGAGTCACAAATGGATCTCTGTATGCTTGGTGATCTTTCTATCCTTCCCAAAGAAACTTAATTCTCTAACTGTTTTCTTCTATTTTTTTTTCTTTCTTTCTACAGTACATCGCATTTGCCTCCCTCTTCTTCATTCTGGTTTCCATCACCACCTTTTGCCTCGAGACCCATGAGAGATTTAATCCTATCGTTAACAAGACAGAGAAGGAAATTGTTGGCAATGACACCCAGGTGCGGGTCTATCAGGAGACTGAGACGGAGGCTTTCCTAACCTACATTGAAGGGGTCTGCGTGATTTGGTTTACTTTTGAGTTTCTGATGAGGATCATTTTCTGCCCCAACAAGATGGAATTTATCAAAAATACCTTGAATATCATTGACTTTGTGGCCATTCTCCCTTTTTACCTGGAGGTTGGACTCAGTGGCCTGTCTTCCAAAGCCGCTAAGGACGTCTTGGGCTTCTTGCGGGTGGTCCGGTTTGTGCGAATTCTGCGAATTTTCAAGCTGACCCGCCATTTCGTAGGACTGCGGGTTTTGGGTCATACTCTCCGCGCCAGCACAAATGAATTCTTGCTGCTCATCATCTTCTTGGCACTGGGCGTCTTAATCTTTGCCACGATGATCTACTACGCTGAGAGAATAGGTGCTAAACCCAATGACCCTAGTGCCAGTAAACACACACATTTTAAAAATATTCCCATTGGCTTCTGGTGGGCTGTTGTCACCATGACTACCCTGGGCTACGGAGACATGTATCCTCAGACTTGGTCAGGCATGCTGGTGGGGGCCCTCTGTGCTCTCGCAGGCGTGCTGACCATTGCCATGCCTGTACCCGTCATTGTGAACAATTTTGGAATGTATTACTCCTTAGCTATGGCTAAGCAGAAGCTACCAAAGAAAAAAAAGAAGCATATCCCGCGGCCGCCCCAGCTGGGATCCCCCAATTATTGTAAATCTGTCATAAACTCTCCACACCACAGTACTCAGAGCGACACATGCCCACTCGCCCAAGAAGAAATGTTAGAAATTAACAGAGCAGGTAGGAAACCTCTTAGAGGAATGTCCATCTGACTTTTAATCTCCATCCTTTCTAGAGCTTGAAAGATTCAGTCAGACTGCATTCTTAGCCCAATGGATAGCACGTTATCCCATTACTGTCCCACTGCCACAAATGGAATCATGTGTGGGACATACAGGTTGCAGGGACTAATGGCAAACAGGAGAAGCTGATAAACAAAATTTAGCAGTGCACAGGTTTGTAAGGAGCCCTCAGATCAGTCCTGTTTAACAGGATACTTAAAGGCTCTGAAGGAATAACTAGATTGAGCAGAGGAATATTTTCAGTTCTACAATTTTTACTGACAGACTACATTTTTTATTTCAAGATGGTTCACAAAGTTTGCCTGCTGCCTAGCATATTGGCAGTCAAGCGCACAGTTTTTGCCCCCAAAAGAAAACACAAACATACAGTACATTTCCCCCTAGCTTGCTACTCTTTCCTTTTATACTTAGCTACCGATACATCTAAAGTTGCAGAAAACCAATGAGTTTGGGGGATTAGAAGAACAAAGCAAACAGCAACTTACATCTACATGCAGATCCATAAGAAAAACATTTTTCCCCCAAGTGGTTATTTACGTATTAGAATGGCAGCTTAGATTTCTTAAAGACATGGTGATGAGGTTCAGAAAGACACACAGCTAAGGATTTTATTCTGTGGCAGGCAATTCCAACCCAGTAGAATCATACAGAAGCTTAGTACTTAGCATTCAAAACACGAGGCTCATCAATGCTTTCTCCTGAAAACAGTCTACAATCAACAGCTTCTTCAACCATCTACTATTAAAAGGCTGATGGAAAAAGGGGAGCTTGGTGGCCATTGGGGCAGATTTCTTCTGAAGAGGCTTGAGCGATAATTTCACAGGGTATCTTTTAAAAAAAAAAATAGAGATAAATGAAAGCAATAAGAAAATAATTCCATTCAGACAAAACTATTTTTCACATTGGTTCAACATAGAGGTTGGGGAATAAAAATACTAGTCATCATGGAATATGTTATAATATCCCATGGCTAGTGGTCAGTTATGGGACTGTCTCAGTTTTATGAGACTCCTCAAAAGAGCACACAAATGTACAGGGCTTTGATCTGATTAGTTCAACCCCATAGTCTACCTCTATCCATGGAATATCATTGACCTATTCTGTGGGGGGGAAATGTAATTTTAAGAAAAACAGATACCAATTATTTTGGCTGGTGAAATCTATATAAGTTGCAAGCCATGTGCAATATTCAGCCTAAGTGTTGGGGGGGGGGACATTTCTGATTGGTATATATTGAGAAAAAAATTGTTTATACAGCAGTTCATGCTACTCTTTAGGGGTAAGAATCTGTTTAAAGGATGAGCTTATGATGGTCTTGCAGTACCATTTATTTGTTTACTTTTGTGGAAAATATAATTTATTGCTCCATGTGGTGAGGACTCTTCTCTTTCCATCTCATAGCCATGCATGTGGATGCTATTGAAAGAACACAAAAGAAGTATAACTTTCCTTTGTGTGTGTGGCTTCACCAATGCCAAATGCTAATTTCTAAGAGATGACAAAGAGATAGTACAACTTTTCAGTTATTTCGTTGTGGAACTTGAAAATCCATCCAGATGGGTAAACTTTTCATTTTTGCCTCTGTTTTTCCTGTGGATTTTTTTTTAATTCTTTAATTTAATTTGAAGACTTCCATTGCTCCAGGCTGGCCACAATCCATGCAATGACTGCCTCTTTACTATTTTACCCTTTGCACATACCTACGCATTCTTCTCAGGTTGCAAATGCTTATCACAAAGTCGTCACCAAGAATAATTTAACTTCTTCATGAGTAAAGAAGTACATGTATGATTCTGTAACACAGGGACAATAAAACGATGCTTACAAAGCAGTTGGCTACATACTTCCAATTGCTGAACAATGTCCCTGCTTATTGGGTGCCTGTAGTCCAGAGAACCAATTGGTTTTCATGAAGGCTCTAAAATCATATGTGACCCATGTGTGTAAAAAGAGTTTGTGGCCACCTGTTATCATTGGTCTATTTCTTCTCACATGTGGAATTATGTGCAGTATGAAGTGAACTGTACTGTATATGATATAAGCCAAGCAGCTCTTTTGTACTGGTTATGACTGGGCTAGAACTTCTATGCAGCCCAGTTCATGTTAGGATGTCCACAAATGATTCTATACATGAAAAGGGTTATGTGCAGAAAACAATTGGCCAGCTTGCATGCATGAGCCTTAAAGTCAACAGTTTGTTTGTGCTTTTCATCAGCTCCAAGAGCCCATTTGTAATTTGTTTAATAGAGTTGGATTACAGTACCTGGTTGTTTATTCAATACAATAGAAGCAAATGTTTAATCTTAATTGGCAGGGAAGGCATTGAGGAGTTGAGGAGGATTCTGTCATATCCAGAATCAAGAGATCTGGAGATTCCAAATAAATCCTATTTCCTGTATACGAATGCCATCATAAGTTAAACTTCTAAATATCAGTCACAGGACTTAGATATCCCAACCCTGGAAGTGAAAATAAACCAAAGAGAATCACAACCAACACTCAATTATCAGTGGATGTTGACCTATAAAGTAGATAGCATCTGAGAAGGAATGTAGATGCCCACTTTATCCTAGGTTTCTTTAATTACCCTCTTTTTCATATCTGAAGAAACATGCTTTCTTTACAGTTTTGTTATAATTTCTACCATGTAGTGATCAGCTACTTTGCTGTATAGAATACAAAGAAATAGCTGCTTCAGAGGCAGATTTAATGAATGTTCTGTGCACCTTGCAATAAGATATTGATCAGCGATAGTCTGGTGCAGTAGGAAATTTTAAAATTAGATTATTTTATCTAATGTACTAAAATATCCCAAAATTTTATTTAAATCTCCCTCTAATGACTTCTGCTAGTAGTAGCATTAGTAACACTTCCGGTGGAAAACTATTCCTTCATGTTTGCACAAGTATCTGTTTTCTCCAGCTTTTACAGTCCACATTAACGAAGAGACATATTATTATTATTATTTTCTTCTAAAGAGTTTTGGAGTGATTAAAAGGCTACTGAAAAGAGTAAAATGGGTGCATTTGTTCATCAGATTTCAAGCTGTCAACAGTCAAAGATAAATATTTGATGTTCTTCCTGTGTTCGGTGCAACTTTCCAGTGTTTAGAAGTAGGGAACATGTTCTAGGCTACCAGATGAACTGAAACAAATGATCTCAGGCCAAGTCCAACCAATGTAGTAAAGGTACGATAAAGGATAATATGTCGGTTTGTTGACTAAGGTGATATGAGCCTAAGTACCACACCATTTCATTTAGGATGGTCTAGTTGTCTCATTTTGGAGAATTCATTAGAACCCGCTTCACTACAGGATTGCACTACCTACCTCATAATGGATAGTTTACTTTAATAGAACTGTTTTGCCTTATTGAAGGAAAAAGTGATTCCTGATTTTAGTTGCACAGCAGCAAAATTATTAAGCCAACGAGGTATATTTGAATGCAGTAAAAGTCAGGCAAGATGTTGTGTTTGGTGAGCATATTTGCAGTTTTCAGCGCTTGATGTGAGCACTTTCACAAAATGGTTGCCAAAAAAGCATTTAACCTCCTCATGCACGTAGATTGTTCCATCGCAAAATACCCATGTATCTAATGGCAGGTTAGTGATGGTGCTTCCTGCCATCCCCTCTAATAATTTCTCCTCCCCCTATTATCAAAATGCAGTCTGTAATCTCATGCTAGTTTTGCCTTTTTCCTGGAACCTCTGCAGTCAGCCACCATTATTATTTTCTAAGAATGCCTGAGGGTCCATGTGAGTCCATAGACAGTGTAGCAAATCTATATGTATAAACAGCTGACTGCTTTGCAGGAAAACAGCTTCCCACTGTTTTAATTACAGAAAAAAAACTGGTGGAGCATAGCATGTGCTTGCAATATCCACAGGTATAGCAACGCTCCCTTTACCTAACCCAAATGGAACTATACAATGACATGTCATCACTGAGAAGTCAAGTTTGTTCTTCACATGCAGAAGGCCTCAGAGTCCATCTCCAATATATTCAGGGGGAACTTGGAAATGGTATTGCTCCCATTTAATAAAAACAATATGCACCAAGCAGGACCAGTGGTTATGCTCAGTAGAAGCCAACTGCTCCATCCCATTGACAACAACCCTAAACTTTATCCTTCATTAAATGGTAATTCAACTCATTCCACCCCCACTGAGGTATCAGACGTAAGACAAAAATGAAGATATTCCAGTCTTCAGATTTATAACAGGCTTAAATAACCGATACATAAATACTTGTTTGTTTTAATTTGGGGCTAGTTATTTTCATGTTCTTTGGACTGGAGTCCTTGCCCTTCTTGATAACTTTATCAGGACCAAGAGGGAGTGAAAAATCACCAGAGATTTCATGTTAACAGGCCCTTTGTTTACAAAAAGGAACAAAGACCAAAAAAAGCACAATACTATTTGTTTCAATCACTTAATTTAACACCCTTTGCTGCAATGATCAAGGCATAAGTGTGATTCAGCTACTCGTAGACCAGAGAAAGGGATATAAACACATTACATTTCCATGAGAAACCCAGGAAAATGGAGTTTATATAGCAAGCTTTCTCCTTTGAGCCTGTTAGATTGAGAAATATTTTAGAGGTCTTGCTAACACTGCATTAAACATTTCTCTGATGAGACTGATGAGGCTGGAGAAACTCACTGTGTGATTGCATGATAGCATACAATAGGAAGTCGGAAGTCTAAAGCATGATGAGGTTGAGGAGGAGAAGATGGCTGATAGATGCAGTTTTAATATACAGAGTTTATAATGCTTATTCACATCTTATAAAGGATCATTTGGGACGGATCCATTCTGAACTGAAACAGCAAAGTGTAAACAATGGCATATCGATATTTTTGATTCTTTTGAGACACGAAAGTGAGATTTATATTCCAGATTTATATTGAAAGTCTATTTCACTTTGGCTCTCTGCTTT